AACACAAAAAAAAACTAAAAATTAAAAATATTGCGTATAAAAAAGTTCATCCCCAATTTTCCACCCTTAGGGGTGAAATATTTTCTTCAAATTCGCATGAAACCACCCTTTTGATAATACCTATTCAACAAAAAAATAATCGTTCAAATTGATTTATAATCGGCAGAGATATTGCGTATAAAAAAGTTCATCCCCAATTTTCCACCCTTGGGGGTTGTTTTTTCTATTATTAAATTTAAATGGGACCACCCTTGAGGTATTACCTATACGCCGAAAAAAGATTTGTTCAAATCGGTTCATAATTGGCGGAGTTATCGCGTAACAAACATAGAAAAAAAAAAACATACGGGTCGAATTGAGAACCTCCTCCTTTTTTGAAGTCGGTTGAAAAGGTCGTAACGCCATGACCCCGAGTAGGTCTGTCCACGCTACACGAATTTTGGCTCGGCTCGTGCTCCGCTCGTACTCGGCTCGTCTAGCGTAAACCCACCTTAACTCTATTACAATTGTCATTCATTAAAAAGCATTTATGCGATGCAAAATGACACGTCCAAGTTTAATGAAATAAAATTTGCATGGCCTCCGTTCGGCCGTGATTATTTAAAGTGGTAAATTCGTGAGAAGATTTTTTTGGGGTATGTGCACCTTATTTGGGCGCTGAGCTGTTTGTATTGTTAACTTGGAAAACAATGGCTGATTCCTGATTCAATTGCAAAACTAAATGTTAGATTACATCGTTTTCTGACTTTACATCTATTTTTTCATGAAAATCTTTAGAATTAATAAATGTGATTCGTTTGGGTGAGAATTAATATTCTGACATTTGGAAATATTTGATGTGACTGATTTTTCACTCTGTTTAATAGATTGGTAAACAATATATTTTATATAGGTATTAAAGAGGTTCAGAAACAAAAAGCTTAAGTAGATATGGATTGCCACAGAAACTTTTGGAAACGTCTCCTTGAAATGTAGGCTTACAAAGAATTTGTTATTACGTATGTTGTGTGGTTTTCACATTTAAAATTGGTTCAGAAATCAATTTAATGACTTTTGGTTTAGAGATCGATTCGAAGCTATGTTCAAATAGATACATACAAAAATTATTTTATTATTAAAAAAAACTATTGAGGTAGAGCCACCATTTATCCTTCATTGAGTTATTTTAAAGTAAACACTTTTATCTTAATGCAAATAATTAAATAATTAAAGTAGAAGTGCCTACTTACTAATACGAGTAGTACGATAAACATTAATTACTTCAATGTTACAATCATCTAACTTAATTAAAAGTTGTTAGTCACAAATTAATTACCTTAAATTAGTAATTGGGTTAGTTAAAATGTTTTGCTAATGTTTGGCTAGATACCCAAGTGTTTGGCAAAACAAGTTGAAAGGATTTTTAATTGACTAATTCTAAATTACCTCGCAGTTTATAATTATGTAAAAAATTTAATGTTTATTTGTACTTTAGCCGTCACTGACTTATAACAAGGACTTATCTGCCAATTTTGCATATAATATACTCGTATAGCTATCTGGCTGTTTAATACGTTAGCTGTTCCGGGTTTGAATCCTGCGAAGGACAACAATTTTGGCCGATAAGTACGAACATGGAGTCAGTCAATTGAGTTTTGTAGTTTATTGTACGAGTATATTCATAACAGGTATCTATTTAAGTGACAAGAAACGTATTTCAATCGCCATAGTACTATCTACATAAATTAATCAAACAGAAATATACAATTTACAATGTAAATGAAAATAAAACTAATTACTTAGTGATAGTAGAGTAGTGAGGACATCCACTGTAAATTAATAATAGTAAGGCATGAAAAGTACCGATGTTGTAGTTGTTCATCATATAACTTTTTTATGTGTAGAAAAGAAAGATGTTTTTGCGTTCGATTTACAAATTAAAAAATCTAGATTTTCAACCACACTACCTACTCGATATTTACCAAGACAATACTGAAATTAATATGGATACTACGCTCAAGATTCCGCTTGCAATCAATTCAGTTGAATATGAAATTGCTTTTTTTATTCAGTTTTGACCAAGGTTTGGTACTTATGAATGTCAAATTACAGTCAATTTATATTATATATTTTGAACAATCCTAAAAGAATAATACAGTATTTTCTTCTTTACTTATTAAATCGTCATCAATCGCGTAGCCAGAATACTTTTCAGTCGAGTATTTTAGTTTATTTCTTCTGACCTTAATTTAGGAGTTATGTATTTAAAATTACATGTCATTTTAGCACAAAAACGAGATAAGCCTTAAGAATGACCTCTCACAGGTATTTTTTGCTAGTAATCATAAGATAAACCCAGCTTTGCTAAGAAAGGTCACTTATTGTTGAGCTTAATTCTTCGAAGTCAAACTTTTAAAGCTGCTTTGGGTTGAGTTAATTACTTTTTATCCACCTTTAAACTTTTCTAGAGCTTTTAATACTCAAAATAACTCGAGAAATTGCGGAATTCTTACTTCGTGTGACTAGGGATTAAAAATAAAAACGAACTTGAAATAATAGCACATTTTGAATTACCTACCAATTTCTTGTCGCACAATAATTTTGTTATTAGTATAATAATAATAATGAATCAGTAAAATATAATTAAATAAGTAATAAATCGTTATGAATGTAGGTATCCTGTTTTTGTCATTAATAAATAAAAATAAAATGGCACGTTACTTAGATTTCAATAGATTAGATTGATAGTGATTAATCGGACACTTTATAACTTCCAATCCATTATTGCGATAGTTGTCTTGATTTATTTAATAAGCATTATTTATTCTATAAAACAATTTCGAAATTAATGAACTTTAAACAATATTTTACACATTGGGGGCAGAAAACTTCTCGAGTGGCGGCCACGGGCAGGAAAACGTAGTGTAGACAGGCATCCACTAGCTGGACCGACGATCTGGTAATAGTTACGGGAAGCACCTGGGTGCGGGCAGTGCAGGACCGTTTGTTGTGGAAATCCTTGGGGAAGGCCTTTGTCCAGAAGTTGACGTCATTTGGCTGAAACGGACAAACGAACGATAGGTACAATTTCGAACCGTGGTATGACAATCATTGTATAATATCCAACTTAGGAAATCAAAAGAGGTTTGTCAGAAACTATCTTGGCAAAACCTATTCCAACAAAATTATAGCCAACTTTCTAATTGTGTTCTGAAAACTTTTCCGTCGAAATCGCATTAAAATGTCGTGTTAAAATAACAATCCGTAAAACGATTTCGTATTATTACACACGGAATTGCGCACGCGAGGCACTCTCGGCCGTGCCAAATGTCATTTTAATAGTTTTAATTACGTTCCCTTGCCGGCTAATTACCTGTCCGCCATCATGGAGTTATTTCATCATTTTCATCGGTTCATTCAGGACGTCTTGTAAATGCCTTGCAAATGAGATCTTATCGCCATCATCCCAAATTGTAATTCCATCAATTTTGTCAACGCCTACCAGACGGTTCGTATTAAGATCCGTTAGTTGTTTGTGGGAGTACTGGGGAAAGGAGGAGTTAATGTGTTCGAGTAAATAGACGTCTGGAAGATTTGCTGAATAATTTCTATTGTAATTAAGGTTTCCATCTGCATTAAGTCAAACGCTTAACTAACTCAGATTATTATTACATCATTGTTTTAAATCTGTTTATTGTGATGAATCTCAGTTTCATTTTATAGGTTCAATATTCAGTTCAATTCATAATTCCTAAAGACAAAGTCTTAATTCCTAACTACTATCACAAATGCATGCAGCATTCTTTTACTATAAGACTTAACAAGTATTCTTAGTATTAGATTGATATTTGTTTCGAAAACTATTCCGAAAATATAATTCTACTCAATTCACATTTTTGTTTAGAATTAAAAAAAAATATGACGATTATTGTACATATAATTTATGTACTTCAGATAATGAAGCGGTAATAATGAATTAGGTAAAAGAAGTGGAAAAAGGAGGAGTGAACAATAAAATAGAGTGGATAAAATGCTTAATAATTTCTATTGTAATTAACCGAAGGTTTCCATTTGCATTAGGAATAGAACTAAAAATACTGATTATTATGTTTTTTTCTGCTTTTATGTTGGAAGTTGGACGATACATTTCAAATTCCACTTCTATCGTAATCATTATTTTACTTTTGGTAATAAATTGTTTATTCTAAACATCACTGCTTTGAATGTAATATGTCAATCGAAACTTATGGCCAAGATTGCTGCAAATATGAATTGCTTCATTTGGATCAGTAATCCACGCAAATACCAAGCTATAAAATGAGTGTTATTACCGAGGTATCGCTTTAACCGAAGCGCCATAACTGTGTTGCCAATGTACAGCATCCCTATCAATTTTATAGCCCTAGGCGCTATTAGAGCAAAGGCACCGACATTTATAAATAAACACCATTCGTCGGCCATATATAAAGATTTCATAGCTTCTAATTGGATACCTAATATGGCTCCCAATGTCGAATACAGAGAAGGGAGTTCATTATTGCAAAGCGTAGGTAAATTAAACCATATGAGGTTTCTATATGATAGCGACATGCAACATTAAGCGTTTTTATAACTTTCCTGCTATTCAATTACCCTTATTAGGTTTCGAAATAAAAATTACGGTGGCAATAATAAATGGTACTTGCATCTTCTAATTGGATGCCATTAAATTGCTACAAGTTATCATTATTTTTAATTGATTAGTAACTTAATTATCTATTGTTCTATTTTTTTCTATCCCACTAACATTATTAGAAAAATAAATAACAAGTTATTGTTTAAATCAAAATGAAATAATACTGGTGACTTAGACAAAGTAGGTATGTATATGCTATTTAAAATCAGTCATTAATTTGCGGTCTAAGTAATTATATCGCTAGTGAGCCTCAGTTAGGCTTTTGACACGGCAGACAAACGCATATATCGTGACTTCGCCCAGTAAAGTCGGTTTGTTGATAAAGTCAATTAGTGGTATCGAAGTAGGGACGTGTATCAACTGATTCGGCCCACCTCCGCGGCCGTAGCGAAGCCCGCCCGCCGCCATTGGCCGGGCGTTCCGCAGGGGAGTGGCTTGGGCCCGCTACTTTTTTGTTATGCTTTTTCGAGTCGTGCGTAGGTGACCGCGGAGCCAAGTTTATTCTGAACCAGTCGATTGGAGGCGTCGGTGTGTCACAGTTTATTGCTTTGTTGTCGATCGACACGTCACCGCGTGTCGTATATTGTGTCAATAGAAGCCGTTTCGTTCGTGCCGGTTACGTTTCCGTCTCGTGTTTGACAAGGACTTTCCAAGGAAACAGTTCGCTGATTTAGAATAAGGTAAGCGTTTTCAATATAATTACGTTTAGTGGAAGCAATTAAAGTCTGTAATTAGAATTTATTGAAAGAGAAGTGAAATCTAACAAATATTATGTAGGCTTAACGGTTTAAAACTTTGAAATTTATATAATTGTTGTGAAAATAGATTTTATGAATTCATAAAATCTAAATAAGATCATAACTAGTTTAAATTGATTTTCGCTTCTATTATACAAACTGATATTTTATTTATGATTGTAATTACACTAGCGTGGCCTTCTTTACTTGTATTATTTTTTGCCTAATAACTAAAATATTAGCTATTTACGGTAAAAGGTAAATTAATTTTAATTTAATATTAATACTTGTATTAATGCTACGATACAGTTATTTTCTTATTTATTATTAACGCAATATTGGTAAGATAAAATTTTCTCTTCTTACTATTTCTTTAATAAAACCTTTTGTAGAGCCGTCATAAACGTTAAATAATTTGACATGTCTTGATCACACGAATAACCTTCCTGTACAAAAGTTAAAACATTTTTAATACAATAAATAATCAGACACCTGTAAAATAATATCAGGAAATCGAAATGTGATTCCAATTAAATATGCTACTATGAATTGTAAAAAAATAAAAATAATTAACTTGGGTAATTATTAAAATAATGAAGGTAAAACATTAATAATATATCATTCAATTAGATTAATAATTGGCTTGAATTATATGCTAAATATTTTCAATAATTTCACATTTAACCCTAATATAGTAATGAAAATACGATAAAACAATACAATAAGGTTTTGTTAAAAAACAAGCAAAGATAAAGTTAGATAATAGATAAATAAATAATTATTTGCAAACACTTTAACACACAATTAGTAAAAGATACTGAATAACAGTTAAGTCCGTGATGAACAAGACAAAAGCAATTTTAAAGAGGTGATTAATATGGATAAAAGTTATTCTTTCGTAATTTGGACTACATAAAAACGAAAATTAATTAACTACAACTTAATAACGCGTCGGACAACATTAAGTTTTTACTGAGGAGCCTCCCGCCGTCCCCTAATTACGTGAAACAATTAATTATTGGGATAATGACATTATTTTGATAACAAAATGGCGCGCTCCCATTAATCAAAATGCACAACAACCTTATTTGATGACTTCCATCATATTTTTTTGAGTCGAAAAAGGCATAATGGCTGATATTCCAAAGGCATTTGCATAATTAGGTGAATTTTATTGCTTTATTGAATTAAAGCCGATGTCAGGCTCAAAATTGATATCAGCGGGGGTTCCTGTGTTGTTAATTTTGTTTATAGCTTGTATTATGGCCAGCTCCGGACGTATTTCCATATCTCAGCTCTATAAACGTTGTTAGACACTACACGACCAGCAACAATAGTGTATTTTATGTTATTGATCTCGATTTTATTATGCTATTACAATGGAATGCTATATTCCTGGTTTTTATGGATTTCTAAACTTTTATAACTGTGCGTTATAGTTTATTAATAAACGTTTATTCAAATTTGATGTAGGTTTCAAGTTTATAGTGTTTCTTATTCTCGAGTGTTAAACTGAACGTCAAAATAAAGACATTTAATATTAGTTTGTAATGTTAATAGGTTGTGAACTTGTTTCTTAATTATATTCCCCTTAAGTGTGTGTAGTTTATTACCTGATTATACACTTATTATAAGTGTGATTTAGAATTAGTTAGAATTTAAAAACGTACTATAGATACATCGTCCGCAGCTGTGTTTTCGTCTTGTTCAGTTGTTTCGAATGTTATATTCTCCACAATATTATGTTTGGTAATATTCGAAGATACTTACTAAGTTTGCAAAATATGTGTTATAACATGTTAACTTAATTTATTTTTTTTCAATTCGCAAAGATTCTCTCTCCCAATCCAATTAATTTAGGAGTGATTTTTCACTAAGGACTTCCTTGTTAATGGCTTCAAATTACGGAAAATTTATTAGTAATCAGCTAGAGTCAAGTGCCCCATGGTGTAATCCATCATGCGCCGTTCTCGCCATTCCTTCAGCCGGATCGGTGGCCTGAGCAATCAGGAAGCGACTTACACAACCAGTTTTTCTCGTGGCCCCACTTTTTACTCTAACCTTAATATAATTACTCACCACGTTCCAGATATCTTTATTACCCTTTCAACTGATCTCACGTCATTCTACAATGTACTCCAAATTGAGTTCTCACAACACAATGCGTTGTGGAAAGAGTGATTTTAAGCGATTTTTTACTAAAGGGTTGTCCGATCTCAATTCGATTATCGTGGCCAGTGTAAAAAGAGCTGCTGCCCGCCCCTTTCGGTGCGATGACTTGATGACGGAGGGAAGCCTCGGCTGAAGGTCAGAGATCTCATTACGGCAGCCGAGATAAAACCCTCGCGATGACTTGCGGATGCCTCCGGAACGCGAGCAGCATTGTTGATTGTATTAGAGTTAATTAGATCTTAATTAACATTCAGGTTTCTCATTACACGCTACTCTGCGCTACCAGCGGCGTTTACAATAGGAAAGTTGATCTACATCCATACGAATTATATCTTGATGATTTTTTGTGTTCGGATATTAAATTGAAGGTTTTGTTTTTGTTTATTATTATGTGGTGATGAAATTGGATCATTATATGTATAGCAGTCATTGTAGTAGCAAGATAATAGTACAAGTGGCCATATCATATGCTAGATGGCTTCATGATACGGGCGTTGTATAATTAGCTATTAGTCCAGTCAATAAAGCATTATAGATGGAAAACTGTAGAACACAATTTCTGACCTCAGGACTTTATTTAGACTAGTTAGGAGGTGAACATAGCAAAAGTCCCCGCCCTTAGCCCTTGAGCCGGCGGGGAGAGGGGGTTTAAAGGTGCCACTTTTCGGTTTTTCGCTTAATCCTCGGAAACTATGCGTCCTAGTGACATGACTACTTTGAACCAAAACAAGCATATTCAATTTGCTACAGGTGAGATCGACAAGTTTTTCTATAAATTGTATAGTTTTCGCGGCATCTGCTCTAGAAGGTCTGTAATATTGGAAATTTTATTTTAGTCTTACATGTTCCCATCAGGNATGTTGAAATTGTTTAAAGATACTTTTGCGTAATCAAGAAAATGATTACACGAAGAAAAGTAAAAAGCATTAACATTTATAAATTTCATTTTAATGGCTGATGTAAAAACCGATATCCACGTTGATAAAGAAAAACTAAACATTGAAAAGAAATGCATTGAATGGTAATCTCGATGATACAAAGGAATAATTAGTCAATGCAATTATAGACGGTGGTAGAGCAAGCAAAAACTTGATTACCAGTGAACTAAGCGAGCTGCTTGAAATCGTTTGTGAGATTTCAAAGGTAGCTTAAGGGAAGAAAAATAGAACTAGAATGAAATAAAAGCTGATGTTAGCAGTAACTTTTGAACATCAAGTACCTAACGAAACAAATGCCAACGTAATTTAATAAGAGATCCTCTAAGGATAAAACATATAGGTAATTACATAATTTAGAACCTAGGACACCAATTAATCTAGAATAGGAACATTTTGACATTCAAGAAAAGATTTTAACAATAACAAACTTATCCAATCCTCCATTAGAGAATAGCATTCGAAGGCAGAAGAAATGCCGAGGCTATCTGCAGACGGCGATCGGTGAGTCAACGCTTATCTTCAGATATAAGCTGAGACACCATTAACACTTAAGACCAGACCTAATGGACAAAAACATTAATCCCTGCCCGCTTAAACTGCGAACGGAGAATCCCCCGTAACAAAGTTTTGGGAGGGTCTGTTGTTCTGAGTGTTAAGTAGGTAGCGAGTGTTTAAAAATGTATTGTCTGGGACCGAGAACGTTGATAAAAAGCAGTTCTGCTTCAAGATTGGCGATTGGTATGACATTGTAAGTTGTGCATAATTTGGAGTGTAAGCCAAATCCTCAATAATTGCTCTCAGGTAAATTCGAGGGGGTTTTTCTTGCAGTGACACTAAATGATCGGATAATGATGATGACAGATCTGAAATTTGACTGCTACTCAATAAGTGTACATCTTGAAATTCATTTACCACTCAAACAGAGTTTTCTTCGATAAAGGTCACTGACGATTTTTTGTGTTCAGTAAACTAAAAAATTTCTTCTATTATTTTCTGAAGGAATATCATATCTTTAGCGTGGATTTTGAACGAGGCATTCGCTATAGGATTCACCGCTTGTCACCACGTTTAGAAATATTACTCGCCCGTTAAAAAACCGTTGTAGTATACCTCAAACACAACGTCACAACGTGTCAAAATTCAGTAGTCCTCAAAGCCAAGGCATGTGAGTAGCGACGGGTGTAAACCGGGATTATCGGTGGACTAATGGCCCGGGGAGGACGTTATCGAATTAGGCGCCAGGCGTCCAACCACTAATCCTATTATAGCTGAGACCGAGACGAGGGAACGTGGTTGACATTGTTAGGCTACCTGAGTCACAAAAATGAGTAGTTAAATATTATGATAGTGTTAAAAACTTTTTAAGCGAGTTTGTGTGAGAACTGCAATGATGAATAGTAGGTACGTATTTCTCGTTTAAATATACCATAATCTTACGCCCTTATTAATAAAAGTTACACCCTAGTTGAACTCTGGCTTAAATTGTCATTTAGTATGGAAATGTCATTAATCCTGTGTTCTTCCTAGGTTAAACTTTTTATTAATAAAGGGGATAGAGTTTTGACATCCAGAGTTTTATTGTACTTTATGCGCTTTTGTAGGTATAAGGCATTGTAGTAGATAAATAGATTACTATGAATACATAGACCTCCTTCAGTAGACACTAAAAGACATGATGATGATGATTCACAGACCATGTGTAAAATACTTTACCTACGTAAAATTACAAAATTTTCTGTTATTACTCCAATCATGGTCATAATGTGCTTAAAAAGAGATGTTACTTAAGGAATTTTTGAGAATAGCACTATTGATTGCGATGGTAACAATTTC